TACCCGAATCAACCAATATATGTTAGTAGACACCTCCCCCGTCAAGACCGAGCATCAACGACATACCTCACAACACGCTTATGTCTAGCATCATGCAACCCGTTGATGACGAAGTGTATGGACGCGACAAGTAGTGAACTTGAATGCACACATCAGTTAGCAGAACCATCCTTTAAGTCATTGACGCAACGAACCACCAAAGCATGCCGCCGAACATAGCCCCCAACTCCACAAAGCAGGAATATGAACTGGGAGGCAAAAACCTCAAGGGGGCGACAACTTGAAACAAAAAGAGGCTGCATGTTAGAACGTACGAAACAATCAGCCCACAACTAAATATGAATGATGTGGTGAATCATATCGAAGGCGGGCCAAGTGGAGCAGTTGTGCATATCAAAGTTCAATTAACAATGACTCCTCGCTTCCAATTGACAAAAACACTAGGAAGCACAACAAACATACAAAGAAGAGGCAAAAAAAAAGGAGAAAGAAGGAGAAGCGCAATAGGGTGGAGCGGGGGCATGTGGCACTATTACAATGGTGTCCATGTTGGCTCGAGGTTGAAAATAGTCTCTCCCCAACCAACAGTTCTCTCTCGAGCTGTCGGAAAGTTCCTCCTCAATAAACCGCTTTGGCACAAGGAATCCAACCACAACCGATCTCATGTGTAAGGCGATACTCCACTTATCCACACATTGTCAAACCTTGCAAAACAAACCTCAAGATGAAGACTGTCGAGCTATTGCTGTTGCACTAACTTGAATAGGAGCAGATCAGTACTGCCTACTCATAAAGAAACGCAAGAAACATGAAGTATGATATTAAAGCAATTGAGATGATGACAGTGTGGATGACACAAAACGAATCCATGCTCGCAGTACTCAATGCTCCTATGGTGAGTGTCTAGAGTGATGTTGCTGACAAGAGCTCCTACGAGAAGGCACATGTATAGATACAACAAGAGCAAGTAATCCAGCAAGCACGTGGGGCATTGAGGGGTTGTGCAACCTTCGAGCAATCCGTATGGGAGAGTGTGTGAGAGACAACCAATGGGGATGAAGGGCGTATTGGATTGGAGGAAGAAAAAGGAGTATAAAGTCCCAATTCAGTCAAGTGGCTCCACAATGCCTACAAATGGAGAAAAGGTAGTGATACATGCTCTCTTAAGTACTTTTCACCAGCCTCTATAACAATTGGATCGTCAGAGAATAAAACCACCTCCAAAACGTACCAAACGGGACTAGAGTAAGGACAATGGTCCACTTTCGTGACTCTTGGCTTGATCTAGGGGATCAAGGAAGACCCAGGGACGGGGAAACTCTCTCGGGGTCCAACAGCGGGGCTTAGAGAGGGGAGTGGAGGAGAATTTTCAAAGAGGACTATTCCACGCTCCCTGCAAGGACTCACCAGGTGGGTTTCCGCCAAATAAGGACAAAGGTTCACGTTCGTGATATTGGGTTTGATCTAAGGTGTCCAGGACGACTACGGTAGGGGACAAGGAAACTCTGTTGGGGTCCACTGAGGGGGGTAGAGAAGGGAGTGGTGAAGGATTTTTTGAGGAGATTATTAACAGTCAAAATGCATGGTTTTCATTTTTTTGTATGGTGTGTGTGTGTGTGTGTGTGTGTATGTGTGTGTGTGTGTGTGCGTGCGTATGTGTGTGTGCATATGTGTGTGTGTGTGTGTATGCGTGTGCAAGAGAGAGAGAGAGAGAGAGA